TGATAAAGACTCTCGGCAAATTAGGTACAGAAGGAAAGTATCTCGATCCAATAAAAGCCATCTATGACAGGCCCATTGCCAGTATCATTCTGAATGGGGAAAAACTGAAGTCTTTTCCCTTAAGAACAAGAACAAGGCAAGGGTGCTCACTCTCACCACTTCTATTTAACATAGTACTGGAAGTACTAGCCAGTGCTGTCAGGCAAGAGAAAGAAATAATACACATCTAGATTGGGAAAGATGAAGTCAAACTGTTCCTATGTGCAGATGACGTGATATTATATATAGAAAAACTTAAATACTCTATCAGAAAACTCCTAGAGCTGGTTAGTAATTTCAGTAATGTTGCAGGATTCGAAATAAATGCCCCCAAATCAGTTGCATTTATATTCTCTAAAAATGAGCTAACAGAAAGGAAATCAAGAAAGTAAGCCTGTTTACAACAGTCACACAAAAAATAAAATAAATAGGAATCAATTTAACGAAGGAGGTGAAGGATCTACAATAAGAATTACAAACTACTACTTAAAGAAACTGAAGAAAGCACAAAAAGATGGAAAGACATTTCATGCTCTTGGATTGGAAGAATTAACATTGCGAAAATGTCTATTCTACCGAAAGCAATCTACAGATTCAATATAATCCCCATCAAAATTACGATGACATTCTTCTCAAAAATGGAAAAAACAATCTCAGCTTTCATATGGAACAACAAAAGACCCCAAATAGCCAAAGCAATCCTGAGCAACAAAAATAACACTGGAAGCATAACACTACTTGACTTCAAATTATACTACAAAGCTATAGTAACTAAAACAGCATGGTACTGGCATAAAAATAGACACTTGGATCAGTGGAGCAGAATAGAGAACCCAGAAATCTCCCCTCAGGCTTGCAGCCTTCTGATATTTGACAAAGGGAACAAAAACCTACACTGGGGAAAAGACTGCCTATTCAATAAGTGGTCCTGGGAAAATTGGATATTCATATGCAGAAGAATGAATCTAGACATGGATCTCTCAACATATACTAAAATAAACACAAAATGGATTAAGGACTTATGTATAAGACCTGAAACTGTAACATTACTAAGGGAAAAAAAGGTGAAACACTCCAGTAACTAGGTCTGGGCACAGACTTTATGAACATGAGCCCAAAAGCCCAAGGAACAAAAGAAAAAATAAACAAATGGGACTATATCAAACTAACAAGCTTCTCCACAGCAAAGGAAACAGTCAACAGAGTGAAACAATAGCCTACCGAGTGGGAGAAATTTTTTGCTAACTATGCATCTGGCAAGGGATTAGTATCCATAATATAAAAGGAGCCCAAACAATTACACAGTAAAAAACCCCCAAATACCCCATTTAAAAAAATGTGCAAAGGAACTGAATAGACATTATCCAAAGGAAGACATAAAAATTGCCAACAGGTACAATGAAAAAATGCTCAACATCACTAGTCATCATGGAAATGCAAATTAAACCCACATTGAGATATCATCTCACCCCAGTTAGACTGGCTTTAATCAAAAAAATGGTGAATAACAAATTCTGGCAAGGGTGTGGAGAGAAGGGAAAACTCCTACAGTGTTGGTGGGACTGTAATTTAGTACAACGACTATGGAAAATAGTATGGAGGTTCCTCAAACAACTACAGATAGATCTTCCATACAATACAGCAATCCCACTTCTGGGTATATATCCAAAGGAATGGAAATCATCATTTTGAAGGGATACCTGCACTCCCTTGTACATCACAGCTCTGTTCAAAATAGCTGAGGTATGGAACCAACCTAAATATACATCAATGGATGATTGGATAAGGAAAATGTGGTATATGTACACCATGGACTACTTCTCTACCATAAAAAAGAATGAAATACTCCCATTTGCAACAGCATGGCTGAGTTTGGAGAAACTTCTGTTGAGTGAAATAAGCAAAACTGAGGGATAAATACTGTATGTACTCACTCATAAATGTGAGCTAAGAGAGAAAGAAGGAAGGAAAGAAAGACCACAGTGGTGCATTGCATTGGACTTGCAGAGGGAGAGAACATACCTAGGGATACAAAGTGGAATGGGGAAAGGGGGAAGGGGAAGGAGGTCGGGGATAATTGGGTGGGGTTCATGGGGTATAATCACAATTTATGGTAATGGGCATGCTACCAGTATCAATCTGGCCATCACATCTTAGGCACAAGTAGTGACAATTTGCTTTCTCTACACCATGAACATTCATAACCCAAAAAATAAAAAATAAAAATGATAAATATTAGAAAAAAAGGGAACATTTCCTTCTTCACTCCTCAGATTATCTATTAAAGGGAACTTTTTACTTACTGACACCAAGATAAGCGTGCATGTGCACACGTGCATGCTTAAAACATTCTTTCAGGCAAATTTAGTACTTTACCAAAAAGATATTTGAATAAAGATAATTTTATTTATCTCATTAGATGTTGTTATGGAGAAAATATATCCTTGTCAGAAATTATTTAACAATTATATTTCAAGTCATAAAGGGATATTTTGCAAACAGAATCTTCGTGGTTGGTTGTTGTTAAATCAGTTTGTCAAGAGATTAACATCAATTATATACTTTGCAACCACAGAGAATACAAAAATAAAGGATAAACATAATGTCAAAAAAAAAAAAAAAGAAATCAAGGAAATGAGCCCATTTACTGTAGTTGCAAAAAAAACAAAATACGCAGGAATCATTTAATTATGTTGCTTAACCCAGTCTTTTTGTATCTCTTTGAGTTTCTTTAAGATTGTTCCTTGGAATTCCTTTTCAGTCATTTCAAGGTTTTCCTGCTGTATAGTGTCTGGTGTGTGAGAATTACTCTATTCTTTTGGTGTTGTCATATTTTCTTGGGTTTTCTTATTTCTGGTATCTTTACATTGATTTGTGAGCATTTGATTGAGCAATTGCTTTTTCTATTACCCTAGAGTGGGCTTTGAGGAGAGAGACTTCCTCTTCTTTTTCTGGTCTCCACTGGTGACCCTCCTTGTGTTGTCAGTGAAGTTGATTGGCTGATGGGCTGCCTACGTGGCTGCTGTTGCTGCTACTTTGGTGGTGAGCTGCTTTTGTGGTGGCCGTGGCCGTGGTGGTGGTTTTGGTGGGCCACCCATGCAGAAATGATGTTTAATCATGCTCCTGCCTTCTGCTGAGTGATGGGGGCTGCCCATGGCTTCTGCCTAGGGTCTTATTAAATCTGGGAATCCACAGAGTTGTTCTTGAAAGCATCCTGGGTTCTGGAGTGCTCAGACACACGCACCCTGAGCTGGCACCCTGCATTCCCACTTGCACACCTTTACTTTACCTAAACTGCTATCTAATCATTTAATAAAAGATGAAAACAGCAAAATGCCTCGCCCCACACATACACCTAGGAAATGAGAATAGGATTATTAAAGAATGTTAGGCTTCTTTGAAGTGCCATCTAAATAGGCAGGACTGCCAACTGATCCCCTTTTGTTTTGACTATTGGAAGATAAGGTTGGGAAATAGTGTCATGGAACTTTTCTCTATTTATGCCTGAATAAGTAGGTATTTGCATCATCCTAGGCATTCATTAGATAAAAGCTAAATTCTAGAGGTAGATATGTACATTGCACACATTTTGTACATGCTTCTTGTCTCCCAAGTGTATCTCCTTTCCTGGCCCCATTTCTTACTATGAAATTGTGCAGTGAGCACTCAACAGTTGGAGTGATGATTGAAGTCAGTGATTTCAAGATACTTTCTCTGCATTCTCAGAAGCTTTCCACGGTTGATTACTACTAAGCAACAACTGGGTAATAATTGCCTAATTATATTGATATACAAAAAGATGTAATTTGGAAATAATTGGCTTAACAAAAGAAAAATGAACAGATGCTGAAAAATTATTTGGGTCATTGTATTGTTAAAAGCTATTGCTTAATACCTGGAGTTAAAATACCATAAATATAGCAATATAAATACTGTATATATATGACTACATAATTTACATTTTAATCATTTATGCTTAGCTCATATTCTGCATTTAAATTTTTTTAATATAGTGGAGAAGACAAAGACAAAGAAAAGGATTCAATGCTGGGTCATTAGAGGGTGGAGATTTGTGACTATACATATAAAAATATATCACTAATATGTTCTGCTTTACAATTCTCCACTGAATTAGCATCTCCAGAAAAAATGTCTCAGTCTAAATACTTCCCGATCTACTCTGATGATGGTGTTTCTGTCTTTTAAATTTGATTCATATGTGCCAGTCTTTCTAGTGAATGATATCAATAATGTAAGTCAGTGCCAAAAGACTATGAGAAGAGTTGATGCTTTGAATAAAATCGAGCTTCTCCCAGGAAAATAAATAACAAGCTTTCAGAGTTTTTATGCCCATCAAATATAGATGTTTTTCCTTTGATTCAGAACTTAAATAAGAAAAAAACCTTTTATTCCCATAGGTGAGACAATTAAGTTACATGGACAGAATTACATGGAACTGCATTTTAAAAAGCAGGCATGGATAAAGCTAAAGTAATCAAGACACTCTGAAACCCGTATTGACAAAAGAATACACAAATAGATCAATGGAACAGAATAGAGAGCCCAGAGATAGACCTGCAAAAAAATTGTCAATTGTTTTTTGACAAAAGAATAAAGGCAATGCAATGGAAAAATGATAATCTTTTTAACAATTGGTGTTGGAACAACAACTATCAAAAACAAAATGACTCTAGAAATAGACCTTACACTCTTCACAAAAATTAACTCAAAATGGATCACAGACCTGAATGTAAAATGCAAAACTATAAAACTCCCAGAGGATAACATAGGAGAAAATCTCGATGGACTTGGATTTGGTGATTATTTTTTAGATACAACACCAAAGGCACAATCCATGAAAGAACTGATAAGCTGGACTTCATTAAAATTAAAAATTTCTGTTCTGTGAAAGACACTGTCAAGAGAATAAAAAGAGATTGTCTCCTAGGGGAAAGTATTTGCGAATACTTGATGTTGTATATCAACATCTGGCGGAAAGGATTTGCAAAAGTCATGTCAGATAAAGGACTGTTATCCAAAATATACAAAGAGTCATTGGCTGCAGTTCTCTGGTACAGTCCGAGTGGTTGGTCCTGTTCCGAGATGCTTCAAAGCATTATTAAAAATGTTTGGATCCCCATGAAGCCCTACTATATTCAAGTTTACTGGGAAATTTGGGTAGGAATAAGGTTGATGGGCTTCATCATTTGTAAAATAAGGAGTGCTGATAAAAAAAATAAAGCTTTGAAAGGTTTGAGTCCTGCACCTGCTCATGGTCATCATTAACCAGCTTCACTTGGAGTGCACATGAGATGAAACGCCAGTCTGTCTGTAAATTTAAGCAAGCTGTGTTATATGGGAACATGGAATATCACTGTTCACTTGTATAAGTACCATGTACTTCTCATCATGAATAAATGTATATGTACGATGCACCACTGCCCCCCCATAATATATATATACACACACACACTAAGAACTCTTAAAAAACTCAATAATAAGAAAACAATCTGATTAAAAAGTGGCCCCAAGACTTCAACAAGACCTAACCAAAAATAGCAGATAGCAATATATACAGATAGCAAATAAGCATATGAAAATTGCTCCACATTATATGTTAACAGAGAAATGCAAATTAAAAAAACAGTGAAATACCACTATAACCTATTAAAATGGAATATTACTCAGCCTTAAAAAGAAGGAAATCTTGGGCCGGCCCGGTGGCACACTGGATAGTGAGCCGCTTGGGAAGCGTGGCGGCGCTCCCGCCTGAGGGTTCGGATCCCACATACAGACCGGTTCCCGCTCACTGGCTGAGCGAGGCGCGGGAGCAACACCGAGGGTTGCAATCCTGTTGCCGGTCCCCGGTCTGGTACGGGGGCAACACTGAGGGTTGCAATCCATTGTCGGACACGGAAAAAGACAAAAAAGACAAAAAAAGAAGGAAATCTTGTCATTTACAACAACATGAATGAACTTGGAGGATATTATACTAAGTGAACTAAGCCACATACAGAAAGAAAAATACTGCATGATCTCACTGATATGTGAAATCTATAAAAGTCAAATTCATAGAAGCAGAGAGTAGAATAGTGGTTACTAGGGACAGGGATGGGGTAGGGGAAATGGGGATATGTTGATCTAAGGATGCAAACTTTCAGTTATGTAGAATAAATAAGTTCTAGAAATCTAATGCATGGTGACAATAGTTAATAATGCTGTACTATATACATGAAATTTTCTTAGAGAGTAGATTTTAAGTGTTCTCACCACACACAAAAAATGGTAACTATATGAGGTGATGGATATATTAATTAGCTTGACTGTAGTCATCATTTCACAATGTATGTGTATATCAAAACATCATGTTCTACACCTTAAATATATTGGCCCAAATCCAGAACACTGACAATACCAAATGCTGGTGAGAATGTGGAGGAACAGGTACTATCACTCATTGCTGGTGGGAATGAAAAATGGTACAGCCAATTTGGAAGACAGTTTGGAGATTTCTTGCAAAACTAAACATACTCTTACCATGTGATCCAGCAATCATACTAGTTGGTATTAACCTGAAAGAGCTGAAAACTTATGTCCTCTCAAAAATCTGCATGTGGATGTTTATAACAACTTTATTCATAATTGCGAAAACTTGGAAACAACCAAGGTGTTCTTTAATAGAAGAGTGAATAAATAAACTGTGATGTATCCAAATAATGGAGTATTATTGAGCAGTAACAAAAAATGAACTATCAAGCCATGAAAAGATATGGTGAGGGAAATTTAAGTGTGTTATTAAGAAGTGAAAGAAGACAATCTGAAAAGGCTACTTATTCTTGATTCAAACTATATGACATTCTGGAAAAGGTAAAACTATGGAGACAGTAAAAAGATCAGTGGCTGCCAGAGGTTAAGGAGGAGGGATTAATGGGTAGAGCACAGAGGACTTTCAGGGTAATGAAAGTGCTCTGTATGATACTAGAATAGAAGTCATCATACATTTGTTAAAACCCACAGAATATACAATATCTAGAATGAACCCTAATGTAAACTGAGGACTCTGGGTGTCAATGTAGGTTCATCAGTTGCAGCAAATGTACCACTCTGGTGAGGGATGTTAATAATAGGGGGGTCTGTGCATGTGCAGCCAGGGAATTTATGGGAAATCTCCGTATATTCTGTTCAATTTTGCTGTGAACCAAAAACTACTCTAAAAAAGTCTATGAAAATAAATAAATAAATATTTCAAGATATTAAAAAAAGAAAGAAGGAAAAGTAGGCATAGAATGTATTATCATCTCAATTTTATGGGTGAGAAAACAGAACCCAGAGAGGTTGCCATTTTCCCATTGTAAACTGGTGAGGCAAGAGTAAAACCAGTTCCTTAGTCACAGTCCTGCCTCCCATCCATCCTTGTGCCGATATTTGGAGGAAGTCACAGCCTGTGGTTAAGTCATTATATTTCAGTTTTGACCACATAGTCTGTGCTCATGGGTTGGCAGCATATTTCTCAGGTAATAGATCTCAAGGCTAGCAGCATTGTGCTTGGAACATAATACCATGCTCCATTTAAATGAGCCACATCTTGTCTCCAGAAATTGCTGCTTCATATAAACTAGATAAGCCCATTAGCCATAAATCATTTTAAGAAATAAACAGCTAGAGTTGAGACTTCTTGAAGCGCTAAGGCCTTTCAGCCCAAGACATATTGACTCTCAGTAACAGTGAGGTTCTCATTTCTCCCGGCTCTCTGCAGAGTTTAGAAATGCAACAGAAGTGAGCATTCTATAGTTAGAATATACGTTTAAAAGGTCCTGCAGATAGGAGCATACTGAGCAATTTATTATTGAGTGCTTTCTGTTTGTGTGCCTACGACTGGTATGTGTCGAGGGACATCAAGAGAAAATATCAGATGTGGTCGGTCAGTTGAGGAAACAAAACACATCATGTTGAGGAAACAAAACACATCATGTAAAGGACTCTAATATCAGACAGATGAAGATGGCATCAGGAAGGTGTTTTAGTTTGAGCTACACCTGAATCAAACCTGAGAGAAGGATTTGAGTGCATGGATTTTGGGGGCAAGGTGTAAGGAGCATCGGAGAAGAGAAATGAGGCAGGGAAGGGAAGGCAGCCAATAAAAGGAGCACTATTAGACAGCTGTCACGGTGGGTGACTAGAAGTTAATCCCATGAGGAAACACTGGGAAATGGTAGAGAACATATGCCTCAGGGTTATTCTACCCAAGGGGTGGGGGAACTAGGGTACTTATATTTCATCTCTTATAAAGGCTGGAATTGGGGTATCAAGGGCTCTCCCACAGGCATTAATTCCCTAGCACTTCAGCCAGCCATGCACCTGGGCAGAGCAGCCTTCTGCAGTTCTAGAAAAAATCCTCAGGCATAGTGGGCAGATATTGACAGCTGGAAGTCAGCCTGTGCACATTAAACAGAAGAGTCCAAGGAATATAGGCAGGGGACTGGCAGAGGTTCTACTATGGTAGGATTCCTGATGGAGGTGAGACTTGACCGTGCTCTTTCTCTTTTCTCCATAGGCTTCCTCATGACCTTATCCTTGTTGTCCATCGTGTACGGAGCCTTGCGCTGCAACATCCTAGCCATCAAAATTAAGTATGATGAGTATGAGGTCAACGTGAAGCCTCTGGCTTACGTCTGTATCTTCTTCTGGAGGAGCTTTGAGATTGCCACTCGAGTTATAGTCCTGGTCCTCTTTACCTCCGTCCTGAAGACCTGGGTAGTGGTGGTCATACTCTTCAACTTCTTCAGCTTCTTCTTGTTCCCCTGGGTCCTCTTCTGGTGCAGTGGCTCCCCATTCCCCGAGAACATAGAGAAGGCCCTCAGTCGGGTGGGCACCACCATTGTGCTGTGCTTCCTCACTTTACTCTATGCTGGTATCAATATGTTCTGCTGGTCAGCTGTGCAGCTAAAAATCAACAACCCCGAGCTCATCAGCAAGTCTCCGAATTGGTACCACCTACTGGTGTACTACACAGTGAGATTAATTGAGAATGCCATCCTCCTCCTCCTGTGGTATTTTTTTAAGACCGACGTCTATATGTATGTGTGTGCTCCTCTCGTGATGCTGCAGCTGCTCATTGGGTACTGTGCAGCCATCCTCTTCATGCTTGTGTTCTATCAGTTCTTTCACCCCTGCAAAAAGCTCTTTTCCACCAGTTTTTCTGAAGGCTTTCAGATGTGGCTTAGGTGTGCCTGCTGTTCCCACAGGCAACAGAAATCCTGTGAGTCAGTAGAAAATACAGACCTAAAGTCATCCAAAAGCAGAGATGAGACACCTTCTAGCAGTAAAATAAGTACTGATCCCAGTCACAACGTTACTGCCGATGAGCTCTCCTCTGCTTAATGGGATCTGAGGTTTCAGGGCACAGTCATGTTATTTTCTGGGTTGATACCTGTTCTTCATACAAGTAATGAGCCCTCCACAGGGAACAAGGCAGGAAGATAACTGTTAACTCCTTGTGAGCTGCTCCTCTTTATAGAGCTCTTGGGTATGTGGGAACTATGGGGAGAAGCCAGGGCATCCTCTGAGTGTTAAAGGAGCAGCCTAAGACACCATAGTTCACAGGTGACCATGTTATGTTCTTCCAGTCATGACTGTCCTTTTCATTGACAAAGTATCCCTGAAATCCGAGTTGGGCTGCTTAAATCCATCAGGTAGAATGAGGAGAGCGGCTTACTTGTTTTCTAGTTTTCTGGACTGTTGGTTTGGGTAGCCTGATGATTATTATCCCTGAACATAGTTTTTTACCCAAGAGCTGTTCTGATGACCACAGAAGGTTACTGGAGTTTTTCCATCAGCAACATCGTTCTTGTTGGAGTAAATAGGGAGGGCTGTTCAAGTTTGATTTTTGAATAGAGAGATGTTGTTTTTTCATCTCATTAGGGCTTTTTGTACATAACCAACTATAGCCACCCTGGCATGCTATCGCTAATTGATTCAAGGGCCTAGATTTGGAGACTTTATTCCCTAGGATCCATGGATGCAAAATTGAATTTTAAATTTGGTTATGGAAGCCCTAGAAGTTTAGGAAAGTTGTGTTTGTTCAATATGTTGAAGAAATTCTGAATCAGTAGGGTTGTTAAAACATCAAAATGATGGAGGCTTATATAAGTAGAATTCTTACCTTCTCAGGCTGGTTGAACATGTGAATCTGCTAGAAGGTAGGCTTAAACCTCCTCAAGGTTCAGTCCTGTCCTGGGATTCTGGGAAATTTCTGGTCTACTGTTTTTGCTAGGATTTGCCTTCTTAGGAAAGAAGAAATTAAAATTCATAGTCTTAAGTCCTGCCTCCCTCTTCCTTACCTGCCAAGAAAGTTTTAGACAAGAGTTACCTTGGCTAACTTAAGTTTTTCTGGAAAACCTCACAGAAATCTCTCACCCAGTGCAGGAATACGAGGGTACTTCAGAAAGTTCATGGGAAAATAGAATTAAAAGACATTATGAATCTTTCCATGAACTTTTTGAAGTATACTTGTGTAAGGCATTTTAATTTTCATTATTTGAAGGAAAAGAGTTTTCCTCACCACCATCACTAGTCAGAGATTGACTTCAGACACTTTTCTAAATTATAGAAGGAAATGAAATGACCAGAAGATATTTGTCTTTCATTGAATGTATTTTGATTTGGCATAATTGTGAGGTAATTTGAACAAGATCTCCAATTTTAACCTCCTACAACCTTTTATCTTCTGAATAGAGTTTCCTTTAATCTGGAACTCTATTTCATAAAAGAGAATTGGGTAGCATATACTCAGTTGTTTTTGAAAAATGCTTGGATTCAATCCTATTATTTCTACTGTTAAAATTTTAATAGTGAAATACCTAGAGACAGATGACCATAAAGAACATACCAATTTAGAGTGAAGATTTGAGTAAAAACTCTGAGAAATTTACAAAAGGTACTCTTATTTATGGACTCTACTTTACCAGATGAAATAGGAATCCACTTCTCTGACTGTATTAACCCACAAAATGTATTTATCTGGCCATTGCCCTTCTGATGATTTTCCTTTTTAATTCTTAGTGACAAGTTTATAAATTTTATACACACAAGTGAAAATGCAATTTGATAACAATTTACGCTGCATTAAGGAGTAAATGAAACAGTAAATATTCTTTCACAGGGCATACATATTAATATTTTTAATACAATTCCATGGAAATACATCAGTAAGCTCCTAAACTGTACAGCCTCACTTTTAGTTTTATGAGAGACTTTTCCTCATTTAAAATTCTCTTGGTTTATCAGTATGTGCGGTTTAATTTTTTTAGGATGTCTGGGCAACAGATTGTTTTTTTCTCTGTTTTTAACCAAATAAGAATAAAACTCAAGTTTGTCTATATTCTTCCTTTTAGCACATCACCTACTACTTGCCCTATTTTTTAATAGGTCTAAAATAAATAGTGAGCATACATCATCAAAAGGATACTTCATACAACATACACGTCCATGTCTCTCCATGTAATCACATATGTGCATAGATACTCCATGGTAATACACAAAATCATCCTTGAAAATATATAATGAGTATGAGTAAAATAAAGCTAAGATGTTAAAACATCCTTTTTTTGTAATTTCCTAATTAACAAAAGGGTTCTATAATGATTAGGAGAGCAGTAAGGCCATTTCTAAATTATTCCAAGTGTTTCTTTATATCAGACCAGTTAGTAATGTTCATTGACACCAGATATTTTCAAGCTTTTTTGTGAGAGAAACATTCTTGCCTGGAAGCTTTGCAATGGCTGATGGTGGGGTGATGGTGCCCCTTTTCCACCTGAAATGCCTTCATGTCATGCCTTGGGAGTGAGGAATGGGGGCAGCCACCAGCCTGTGACTGACTAGGTGTGTTCAGAATTTGAGAAGGATGGAGAGACTGGTATTTCCCAGCCTTGATTTGGAACCCTGTCTCAAAAACCTTTACAAAACATTAACTTTCAAATGCATTTTAAATAATTCTAACTTAGAAGGTAGGTAAGCATCTTAAGTAACCCCAAACCAAACTAACAGTGATGGTCTGTCAGATTCCCCAAACACAATTCACACATTTATAAAGACAGAGATAACTAAATTGGACATTTTATCAGTTTTAACCTCTGTATTAACCCACAAAATTTATTTATCTGACCATTGCAGTGATACAGGTACCTCAGCTTTGAGGACATGTATGTCCATTCACATTGGAGGAGAGAAATCACTGCTTTTTTTTTTCTGTGTGGTGATAAGTCATGGTGAACTGAGAATTTTTGTTTTAAATTGTTTATATCTGTAAGATGGCAAAATTACAGTTCACACTGCAGAGCTAGGTTGTCTAATGACATCAAAAAAAAAAAAAAAGCAAATTTCCTCATGTTAGGAGTTAAAATGTGTCTTTCAGTTATAATTCCAATTTTTAAAACTCAGTGCTTTGTGTAATTAATCACATGCCATTATTTGTCATGACAGCTGTTCCAACTGAATAACTGTTATTTGGCTGGATGGGAGTGAAATATTTCCTCAAAATATATTGAAATAATATCATCAAGCATGTTTAGACTTTCTGTCATCATTACTGGAGACAGCCCAGTGTAGAGATTGGCATCTCTCTGTCCAGCTCAACAAGTTACTTAATTGCTCAATGCCTCAGGTTCCTCACCCACCAAATGTAGATGATCTATTTGTCCAACCTACCTCACAAGGTTGTTGGAAATATCGAATTAAATAATAGATGTGAAAATACTTTGAAAATATATTTAAAGTGCCGTGCATACTTAAAGAGTTGTTACTATAGTTGTTCAAATCCACAGGCAAGTTATTATTTTTTTTTTTACTGTTTGAAAAGAAATACCTAGTGTCATCCGCATGAGTGTCTTGAGTGGATATGTGGACCTTTGGTCTTTTCAGCAGTTGCCCTTTCTCTTACCACTGGTTGCTTACAAAAAATAGTACCCAAACACATGGGACTTAGAGGAAAAAACTCACTGAATCTGAAAAAGTGCTTCTGATGGCAAATGAGTTTATTATTTTGGTATCGTCTTTCATAAAGGGCATAGCATCTTATGATAATTGTGCTTTACAACTTGAATGCCTGATTCAAGGCATTAATTGAATGTGGGTTTAATCTTTTCAGTCTTGTAAATGGGAAAATAAACATTAAAATTGACTGTCAAATACAACATTTCCTTGAAAACCACCTTAGAACATTAGTGTTGTGGTTCTGAATGGATGTGCCAGTACTTCTCAGCCAATGCATTGTGGATGTGAGCTTTTGTGGATTGCTTCTCTGCAGTCATTGACTGTAATAAATATTGTTTATATTTCTTCATATAATAAATTAATTTTTCAGTTTCTCCTTGCATCATTTTATTCCTTGTACAATCCTTCCATGGCTTTTTTACTTCAGGGACTGTGTGTGTGTGTGTGTGTGTGTGTGTGTGTGTGTGTGTGTGTGTGTGTGTGATTAATTATAGTTTTGTAACCTCACCTGGAAATTCCTTCTGTAGAATGAGAAATTTGAGAGTGCTAGGATTCAGTCTTGCAAGACGGCAACAGTCCATGAAAACTCCTCTGATATTTTATAAGCATTTACACCATCTGTTAAAGCTACACTGCTGGATACTAAAATTCTCCTCGGTTGTCTGTCTGTTGCCGTGTGTGATACAAAAAGGAGAGGTGATATACATCTGTTCTAGACAAACATAAATGGAATACTGATTCAGAAATATAAAACACCAAAGGGGTTCTTGGTATTAACATGAACAAATAATCAAATATAAATGACTGTTCATGGTTGGAAAAAATATCAGTCATTACAGGGATCATTTCAGAGCATAAGACAGATAAACATGGACTGTTTCAATTATCCCTTTGCTTCTGAAGGAGAATTTGCAAAGACTTTAGCTATAGAATAAGTCTTTCTTTTAAAAATATCTTTATTGAAGTATAATTGACATACAAAAAACTGTACATGTTTAGTGTGTACAATTTGATGAATTTGGACATGGGCAAACACTCAAAAACTTTAGCTATAGAATAAGTCTTTCTTTTAAAAATATCTTTATTGAAGTATAATTGACATACAAAAAACTGTACATGTTTAGTGTGTACAATTTGATGAATTTGGACATGGGCAAACACTCAAAAACTTTAGCTATAGAATAAGTCTTTCTTTTAAAAATATCTTTATTGAAGTATAATTGACATACAAAAAACTGTACATGTTTAGTATGTACAATTTGATGAATTTGGACATGGGCAAACACTCAAAAACTTTAGCTATAGAATAAGTCTTTCTTTTAAAAATATCTTTATTGAAGTATAATTGACATACAAAAAAACTGCACGTTTAGTGTGTACAATTTGATGAATTTGGACATGGGCAAACACCCATGAAATCATCACCACAATGAAGGTAATAGACATATCCATCACCTCTAAAAGTTTCCTTGTGCCTCCTTGTTTTTGATTTGATTTTTTTTGTAAGAACAGTTAACATGAGATCTATC